AAACACTAATACTTAAATGGTTTTTATAACATTTTATTACTTTACAATAAAACATCATGCGACGCGAGAAGATGTCATACTGAAGAGCATATAATTACTAGATTAATTATCAAATAATAATAATATATTATATACAAATAAGTAATTACCTTTTACGAAACAACCAGTCATTTTTTTATCATTTTACAGACAATAATAAACCTACTCATCTCACACATGGTCGTCTGATCCCAAACTAGGCAGAGCCTGTACTGTGGTAAGTGGTAACCAAAGTGCTGATAAACAAACTTTAATATTTCTAAATACATACATAATTATAGATAAATTACACCCAAACACAGATCAAATGAACGTGCACATCACGCAATTATTTGTCCTGGGTGGGAATCGAACCCACCACTACGAATACAAGAAAGTATTATCTTTTAGAATATTATATTTGTCTTACCCCATTACAAACAATTTTACATTATTGAGGAGTGTTATTACATCTGTTCTTGTATTCTTTATGCTCCTAAAGCCCGATTCTTAACAAATTTTCTTTGATGAAGTGTCAATGTTGTGTCGATTCGTCTAAACCCCGCTAGCTTTAAATAGGTTTTATGTGAATAAAATTAAAATGGCGACCGTAATATATAAAAGAAACACACTTTTTCTCGGCCGCCATTTTTAAAATTGAAAATTCAGCCAAAGAATAACTGCGATTAGAATAAAAGATATATAGGTTTTTCATTATTTATCGTCGTAATATTATTATGTAGTTTCTTTACATGGTAATCAGTGCAACAACTCCACTGCATAGTAAGCTTATTCCTGGATTACAAGCGACGGAATTGCGATCAGTGATTAGCGACCGCGTTCGATGTTGCGATTGGTCCGCGCTTCTCTTTACCAATCGTGTCGTCAGCGATGATCGATTTAATGTAAAATACTCGCACTAGACCCCCAGATATTTGCATTTTGGGGGTTGAACCCTTAGTTTACCAAAGTGTACCCAAGCCTTATCTTATCTTAGGTCAAGAGGTGAATAATAAATAGGTTTATAACCAAAAACAAATATTAGATTATATTCTGGTCTACTTTGTCTAGACTCTTGCCTGCGCTTATTTATTAATCTCGAATATATTAAATTATCAAAAGCGATCGAAATACACAAAATATTTGTTTTGAGTTTCAGCAATAAAAAAGCAATTTTTTTTTAAACCCCGTTAATTGACGTCGTCTCGGCCCCATTACGCAGTCTCCGCGCCACTGATACGCCTTGGCGTACGCAGAATGCACATCTGGGAGCAATGAAGGACTGTTCAATCTCTTAAAGGACACATATTTACGATGATCGCATTCAGAAACTAACCGTATTTTCTTAATTTTAGAGTTGATAATAACTTAACAACGGCCTGACACCCATCTCTACGAACACCTGTTTCAACCGCAGTATGTATTTTCGTAGTGTCAAACGAAAATACAGTTTAGTGGTAAATCGGACGGTTGATTTTCAAATACACGTATACAGATATTGCATTCCTGTTTTGTAGGGATGTTCGCATAAATTATCGATGTATCTCTCCGCGTGAGCGTCGAGGATACGTCTATCCCTTTCTGTTGCTTGTTTTTGTTCGTCGGCGCTATATAGAATGTGAGGACGTGAGACAAGTGCCGGGCTGTTCTGTCTACTGGCTGTTATATATGTTTATGTCTGTGCATACTGGTGATTAATTTTTATAATACGTCATCATTTTTTGTGGTTTATATTTTTTTCAGATCAGCCGGAGGCAAACTTGCATGTACGGAGTATGTAAATATATTTTTAAGTTGTTGAAGCAACTTAATACAAAATGTTGTTTGAAGAGGTAGATTGAATGAGCAATTTATCAAGAAATGAGTTACTAGTATCACTTTATTTGTTGAGTCAAATACCACTTGATCGAAGCCAGGTCACGAGGCTAGTTCATAATACACGAGGTGTCGGCGGCCAGCCGGCGCCACGGCGGCAAACGCGGCGCCTACTATCCTGTCAGTTATGTGACTATGTTAGCAAGTCAAAACAAACCTGAAACCACAAGACATAAAGTACATATTCCTTCAACCTCAGCTACATCAGCTGTGATTTTATCCTTGTTTAAAAATCGCCTCTATTGCTGTAACAATAATGTCGATTTAAACTTTCAGCTTCGTTCGATATTGAATTTGTTCCTTGATTTTGAATTCCAAACCACGACTAAAAGAAAGCAATTTTTAAGGAAGTGTTCTATGATATCGGTACATTAATATTGTTCTTATGCAATCTAACACTTTAATAGTGACGTGTTCTCGAATATAGTTGTGCCTGTAAATTAATAATGAACTGCACGCGCAGAATTATATTAAAATACTTGGTTTATCGAGTTCAATTATATGTGTCGCCATTGTTGTCTACCGCCAGGTGGCCACGCACTTGCGTTATTTCATCGGTAAATCGTATTCGACAACGATCCACACCCAAAGTTGTGAGGCCAAGTCAATTAAAGCCAGTCTCGTTGATTGACAGGTCATTGAGTGGGACTGCTTAGTTTTTTACGTTCATGAACAACGTAACAACATGTTTTTGTCCGAACACTCGAGCCTTACAAGTAGATATTGGCTCGAGGATTAATTATTGTGGTAGAGATCTTATGTTTATTGTAGAAGGCGTGAAATTACTGCAAACATTTCATTGAAAGTCTCACTCGGCAAGTCCGTGTTTTTCAAAGCATTATCAAACCCAAAAAAACTAGATGTTAAATAAAACGCGACGAGATTCACGCCGTTTCCTTACGGTCATCGCTAGGTGTCAAAAGCTTTACCTGACCGCTAACACCTACACAGACCAGCTATACTGAACCGATATTTACAATCTCGGCCCCATCATGTTTGTTCGGGAGTTATCCCTTTACACCTCCACACTGAGACCGCTACTCAAATTGTAATGCAAACATCGGTTCAACTTTTGAAATGACACGTATTGTTAATTAACCCGCGTCTGCGTGAAACCTGATTATATCAAAAACAAAAAAAAAACAGAAAAATCAGATAAAAACTTGTACTGTAAATAAAAATAAAGAACTATTCAGATTTTATGATAGTGGATTCTTATAATAATGTAGACAATTATTTTCAATCCCTTACGGCACGAATTAATGCGATAACCCCTGTTTGAGACCATAAAAATTCACGACAAAACCTGTATAAACGGCTGGAAGCAAACTTGGTTGTTTTGTGACTCGTTCCCAGAAATCGTGGAAATGTTCGAGCAAAAAGCCGACAGAACAGGATTTTGTATCGACATCGCCAAATCTGGACGCGTTAAGAAATGATAAAGAGGACGCCGCAACCGCAGCCGAGTGCAAAACTGCATTGAAGGCAAAAAATAATCACAACAAGATGGAACAACCAGTGCATACTTCCTTACATGTGGACGTTTTGATACATGACAAGGCGTTGGACAGTAAGCCGTCCACGAACAACTCTCTACAAAAAACGTCAGTGATTGAGCACAATCTTCAAGATGCTCTCATCTAAACTTCATTAACGTAATGACAACATTATGCTTTCATCATGTTTTATGCAATATGTAGGGTTATTTAGCATGCGACAGCCGGTATCGAATAAAACGACCATTAATAGACCACGATTGTATTATCGATTATCCAATACGAATTTTGATAGGAGACTTCTAAATGCGTCGGTTGTACAGTGCGAACAAAGTGTACGTAAATGATGATATAATGCATATGCGTGCGTGAGTCACGGATGCTCACATGTGCATGTAGAAATAGTCTGAGTTTGTACAAATGTTGAGATCGGCGACGCAGTGTTGTGTGGCGATACTGGCGATCCTCATGACGAGTTGCCGCGCGCCGCCGGCCAGAGAATGCGACCGGCTGGCGCACCAGTGCGTGACCACATATCGATAATACGTGTGATTCATTATTTTTTATATTACGATCAACCTCTTTATTATAAATTTATTGTCTAAAAAAGGACTTTCAAGAGACCATAAAGTAATTTTTTTTATTAAGTAATTATGTTACTACCTTCGTTTTAATAAATTAGTTCTGAACCTAGAAGAGGCCTATTTAAATAAAAGTATCTTAGAACTTATCGTAATCTTATATATAAAATTCTCGTGTCACAATGTTAGTTACCATACTCCTCCGAAACGGCTGGACCGATTTTTATGAAATTTTGTGTGCACATCGGGTAGGTCTCAGAATCGACCCCTAAATGACAAGGGTGACCCAGCCCAAAATTTTTTTTTATATATTTCCTAGAAATAATGTATATGGCAAAACAACGTTTGCCGGGTCAGCTAGTAAGTTCTAAAGTAATTTTGTTTAATACGGCCATTTATTTAAATAGGACACTACAGATATAAGAATACGTATATTTTATATCTGTAGTGTCAATAGTACAAAAAAGTCATGGAAATCATAAGAATTTTCAATGGATCACCAAGAAAAGCAACGGTTAGTTTCCTTAAAAATGTTTAAGCTAGAGGAAATTATTAAACAGACAATTATAACTACATCATGACCGAAACATTGATCAAACATGTATCTCTGTCGAATGTAAAAATATCCTTGTAATAATAATGACTGCTAAATACTGTTAGATAAGCGAGAAACGTAAGGTAAATCCTTTAACTACACGATAAAATGCCACAGATATCATTAAGCGCATCTCTAAGGGCGAGACCGGGCTGGCGCCGTGCTTTTTTACCCCGGCTGACTCCGGCCAACTTTATACTATGCTCATTTCGACAGTCGAGCGCAGTCACTCACGCAGTAGGGGTGTGCGCAGCGTCGCATTCTAACACTTCCGAACGTGCGCGTTCGTAATAAAAATGATAATAGTGTAGTTTGTTTTTTTTCTAACAATATTGTGTCTTATAAAGTGCCAATACGAGTTGCCTTCAAGTGTTGAAGTTTCCATAGGATTGTTTACGGAAGTTTTTAATTGGATTTGACTTAAGGATTTTAAAGATGTCGAATTTCACGATTAATGGAGATGCAACGCAGACTGTTGTCAAAGGTTTGTAACTTTTTTTCAGGCTGAAAATTATGTTTAAATACTTTTTCTTTAATGAACCCGTTATGGAATATTTGTGAGATTTAGGATTCACTTTTTAGCCAGAATAAAGTAGATGGTACAACTACAGACTGTTACATTTATGAATAAACTATAAACACGCAATTTAAGTAATTTAGTAAGTACTATGTTAAATTTATTTGCATACCTACCTAAGGAAATACCTGAGAGAAATTAAAACAAAGGCTCTTTATTATTGAATTCTATTATTTTTAATTTCATTTCCTGAACTTTAACCTACGTTAAGTCAATTTTCAGATGATAACAAATTATAACAAACTCTAGGAATAGTAATTTTGATTAAACACTTCCTGAAAAGAAAGAAAAACTTAATACATTAAAGCTTTTGAAAACATATTTCACTGCTTATTTATTTATTCAAACTTACATGTTTGAAAATGTTGAAACTTAATATTACTCCAAAACTTAGTTTAAGATTTTAAATGACACCCCTAAACGTAAATGATGGTGCCAAAAACACTTGCCACACTAATTATAATTCGTGCGTTTTCAACCCTCACCACTATTGGAGGTCGGACGACCCTACTCACTACGTCAACATTTAAAAAAAAGTTATGGCTCACTGGAGATGAAATAAAATCACAGTCACCTGTTACAAGTCATACGATTTAAAATGATTTAATCACACCTGTGACGAAATGAACACGGGTAAATATATTAAATACTTTTTTTTTGTAAATACATATACATACACACATATAACATTATGGATAAAAAGTTAAACACATCCACACTAATAATAATAGTCTTGTTTATTACATTCGTCGGTAAAACTAAATAATACAGCTATAGTATTACTAATAGCACAGCATCGCACAAGACACAAGATCATAAATAAAATTCCAACTAATACACAATATGTACAGAGAGGTCACACAGAAAAATTACGAAACAATACATCGCTTCACACGAATAAATTTGTTTAAGAAGTTTGCCCCTTTTACATTATCACGCTATAGCTTATAGGACCAGGGCAGTATCTATGGACCTCGATCATGAAGTACTTATCTAATATTTATGGGTTTTAAAGCCAAATATGAACGAAACTGCAGAGGTTTTATGAGCAGCAGTGCCATTTGAAAATAGAATTTTTGAGGCTAGAATCCTAAAATTATAATACATCCATAAGAGACCTGTGCTTGGAAACAAATAGGCCTCAACCGGAGGGTTACCACGGCTTCAAAAGACGGGACAGCATAGTGTTCAGTTTCACCGAAATCTTACGTTGAGTTTCACTGAGTGAGTGAGGTAACCGAAGCCCAAACTCCACTACCCTGATCCTGGTGACACTTTTGACTCTTACGGTTGTAGGTGTCTATGCGCAGTGGTAGTCACTTACCATCAGAGGGCCGATTTCATATCGACGGCGAGTGCGTTTAGCGTTGCGATTGGTGAATAAACTAAATACGGAATGAAAAAGTAAAAATGAAAATCACAAAAAACTAGAACTTTTACGATATATCTTTATTTATCGATATTTATTTATATATAATAATAAGATCGCTTCATCACTCACATCTAAACTAATATTAATAATCTAAACTATTAATATAAGAGGTAAAGTTTGTGAGTTTGTATGTTCAGGGTGATCTTAGGAACTACCGGTTCGAATTGAAAAAATCTTTCATAGTATTGGATATCCTTTTATCGAGAAAGGATATAGGCTATAAAGCGTCATGCTAAGACCAATTGGAGCCGGGTGTCAACTAGTGTCGAGTATAAAGACAACTCCCTCATTAGGAATGTATCCTGTGTCGCGGGGGACTTTACAAACATACATGAAACGGACACAAAGAACACCCAGACTCAGAACAACAATTTGTGGATCACACAAAGCGTCGTCCCATGTGGGGATCGGACCTACAACACTCAGCGTAGTAGTAAGTGCTTAAACCACTACGCCATCCGTGAAATCAAACATAATATAAAAAGATTCAATTAGAAAGAGACAAAATGTAATACGTGTATCTATGTAAAAATTGTCGTGAGACGCGTATAAGACCGAATTTAAATTGCAACCATTACTCAAATGTAAATTTGGGATTTTCCAAATATTTTTAATCCGGATCATCAGCGGATTCTCATGGTGGGCTCGGTACCTTGTCATGGTCAAGGATAATGTCTGTCATTTTTTTCAAGATGTTTTTGTCTACAACCAAGGATGTCACTGAAAATTTATTTATTGTGCATTTTTTTATATACTCAATAAGAGAGATGTTTGCACATTAATGTACAATAAGACCTTCTACCGCTCATCCCTAGTTAAGAGTTCTCTGTTTGTTGTTGTCTGTCTTTATTAACTGACTTAAAAAGAAAAAACTTTTTTTTAGGTTTGTTACCTCAGTGGCATTTAACAAGGCATATTTAACGTTTAACTAATTCAAATTTGGAGAAAAATACCTAACAGAGGGGGAAATTAAGAAATGAAAAATACAGTTTATTGCCATAAATCATGAAATGATTACATTTTTGAATTAGTTAATTATGTGGGTATTACATCTATACTAGCATTATAAAGAAGAAGGGTTTGTTTGGTTGAACGCGCCAATCTCAGGAACTACTGGTTTGAGTTTACAAATTCCTGGAAAACCGGGCAAAAATTATTCCTTTTGAGAGACGAAGACCAACTAGTTAGTAATGAAATAAGTACCATTTTTTTAATCACATTAGTATTGTTAACTAAATATCTCCGAAACAGAAATTCACATCGTAAAATCCATCAATACTAATTATTAATATATTCCGACTCAAAACAAAAGGGTAGGGACACAAAAAACAGACACATGTTAGGGTGAAATGAAAACCCTTAACAAGTGTATTTGGTGCAAAAATATAATCATCTGTCATTCCAATCGAAAATAAATCTTAAACAAACGGAATAAGGGTCATTCAGATGACTTACGTCACTTGGTTTGTTTGTACACATGTTACTAGACGGGGGTCCGCTGTTTTCAATAGACTTTTTTTAAGAATCGTTCTTAACTCAACTGCCAGTTTTAGTTTGTAGTTTAAAATAAGAATTTGTTCGAAAAAGAGCTACCTTAGCTAATAATTACATTTAAAAAAAAACGCACTTGTAAAGAAAATTCAAAAATGGAAATAAGCATTCGTTAATTTAACTCCTTATGGAAAAACCGGTTGATAATCAGATTTCACGGCCAGATTAGTGTTGCCTAGGAGGCATTTTCCTTTAAGTACAAGCATAATGATAGGTAGTTCAATTAACACAGATCCTTAATGCATTTAATTTAACCCTCCATCAGTATTCAAATGACTGCTATTCAGTTGAATTCGTTACAATTTAACACCCAATTTGTTACCTAATACAAAAAGAAAACAATGTACAATTGAGCAACATACTGAGTTGTCGCCACATGTGCAATGACGTCACTGTTGGGGACCAGATGTGGACGACCCCAGCACCAGATGTAGTAATCGACTGACATGTGTATCTATACCGATTGCAATTAGTGAAGGGTGTTTAACAACTAACTACTGGACATAATAAAAACTATAACTCTAGCACACAAAAAAAAAAAGAATTCTTGTTAAAATCTATTTTTTAAGTAAACAGGCAATACCAACTCATCATTAAATGAGTCCCACATATCGATTTCCTTTTCAAATCCAAATCTGAAAAAGTTCATCATATTCAATTGATTTCAATCATATTCTAATTTTAAATTAAATCTTTTTTTGCATAACACATGACAGGTAATGATTAGCGTACAGATGCTAAAACTTTAGTGGCCTTGTATCGTTCAAAATAAATAGGAACAATTCTTTTGCTGTGTATTGAAAGACTGCAATCAAACCAGAATTAAGCGGCGTTTTATTGAATTAACAATCATTGTACGAGTAATTAAACAGATCCAAAGAATTCTTTAAATATATGTAGCTCATAGACTTGAGGCAGACTTACTACTTAGTGTAAGTATTCAGGTAAATATTGCACAGATAACATTAGATTCCGTCAGAGTCCAAAGTCCGTAATATGTGATTATAATTTTATCAAAATATTCGATAGTAAATGAAGATTATCGTCCGGCACTGATACAATCGATAAGTAATAATGTCGATATTATTAGGAGTGTTTCGTAGCGTTTTTGTACTAGCAAGTCAGTACAGTACAGTCTGGATGCAGAGAAAATTTGTCATCATTTTTCCGGATTGTATTGTATATTAAGCATAAAAAAGCTGCTTTGATATGTGTGTGCATCATAATTCATACGTAAGTTCACACACGAGGGAATATTTTTCTTTTTATTTTTATGTCATCTATGTTCATAATGCTTCATAGTACATATTGACTGTATGGACTATTGTCTATTATTATACGCTCTGGAAATCAGAAAAAGGAATTTATTCTTATTTTGTATGTCAAATTATTTTCATTTTTAATTAATCTCTTGTTTCTACGAAAGTGTTTGCCATGCATAACCATCAACCTATTTAACAAATTTGTCGCCTGCGGACGCTGCGACCTTCAAGGTTACAAAATATTATACTCTTGTCTCAAAGACCGGCAACACGCGTTTGTCAAATGTTGAATGAAAAATCAAAAACAAAGTATTCTAACTAATTTTAAATTTAGAATTCTTCTTAAATCGGCAGTGCAACCCTCAGAATCGAAGACATTGCGAATAATCATGGTCTGCGATAGACGGTGATATAAATTTTGCAATTCACGCCGCTGAGTCACAGCTGTCGCCTGAAAATCTGCCCACGTGATTAAAAACCCCTGAAAAACGGATTATCTTTGTCTCTGTCTATCATACAAACGTCTTACCATTTCACAACGGCAGACTGTTTCTACTTATTAATTTCAACTACTGCTGTAGCTGCGCTATTGTATAATTGCCGTCGTACTCCAAATCTGTTTATGATATTTTACTAAACGAACACGACCCGAAAATGAACTA